CATAAAAATATGCACACAAGCAATGTCTAGAATATAATTCTCCATTTATTTTAGTGTCCAGTAACTTCAGTAATCAGCAGTGTGGCACAAGGCCGAGAGCATCAAGTAGTAGATTATGGACAGAAACACAGAAAAACCTAATGAAACTGCTACGGCTAGTCGTCAGAAGTCACAACCGAGGACCCAGTAAATGCAGGACTCGGACACAGATTTAAGATCAAAACGGTTTTTAATCAGTAGTGGTAATAGAAAATTATAAGATGTAGTGTGGACGTTTCAGCTGGTCACGAGGCAACTGGGCGCTGTGTTGACTGGACCGCTAGATGAGCAACCTGGGGTAGACAGTGAGTAGAGGCAACCACTAAATTGAAAGCAGAGGAGTAGGGTGAGAAGACTGAGCAGATCAGCAGTGAGTCTTTTATATGGGAAATAATGACGAGAACCTGGGTATGAGGAATGATAGCTGTGCAGGGAGGCAGGAGGTGGTGAGGTGCCTGCTGACCGGTGCGTGAATCCGCTGGCAGTGGAAGTCGTGGTTCACAGAAGGTTTGGCTGCAGCCCAGCTCTACGTCAGTCTCGCTGTGGAGGTGCATAGAGCTCAGCAGGATTCTCCTAGAAAAGACTCAAACTTGCGAGGAGACTACAGCATACGCACAGGTTCCGAGGAAACTTAAAACAACCAGTGAAGACTCAAACTGGTGAGAAGACAGCAGGATTCAGACAAGAATCAATTCCCCAGAAATAATAGTTCATACGAAAAAATACTCAAGGGGATTTCCTCTGGCAGAAAGCAAATAGTTCAGTTCACAATTCAGAAAAAACACATGAAACAATACTGGGATCACCAAGGCACAAAAAAAAAGGAAACGCAGGTTAGTAAGATCAGAAGCTTATGGGAGTACTTGCTGGACATTGAGAGATCATCTGGCAACGAGGACACACCAATGATCTCCTTAAGTAATGCTCCGCTGATTGGGAGCAGGTGTGCCTCGCCGCCGGGAGTGTACTCCAGCACCTGCCGGGGCGGAGTTGTTGATGGTCCCAGGGCTGGCAGACGAGGTGCTGGGAGTGCACCGATCCGCAGCCATAACAGAAACTGTGATAAAAGGAAAGAAACTGAAGAACTCCAACATTAGAGAATGACCTAAATGTACATTATACAGGAAGGGATTAGCACAATATCTGTTTTTCCTAAATGCTACATTCCATCTTGATGAAAAATATTACTACTTGTAGTGTTTCACTGAATTTAATCTATCTAAACATAGGCAGTCCAGGGCCCTCTGTTGCACAGAAAGGATTATACATTGTAACCCATCATGTTCATAAACAGCAAGCTCTGTTTGCATAATTAAATACTCCTATAAAGCAATTTATAATCTAATCCTGTCTTTTATGTGCTGCTTAAAATGTCACCCATTGCTGGGGTTGAACGCAGAAATTCAAGAAACAAACCTTTGGCACACTAGAATTTATGTTTTAGTCACAGAGCTATGAGGACTACTCACTCACAAGAAAGGAACCCACAAGAGAAGCTGAAAAATGAAGGAGACTCTTAAAGTATAATTGTTAAAACAACATCATATTGTATTGTGACCTTTCTATCAGTAGTCCTTATTCTAAGATTATCCATATAGAGGACTTCTTTTATATGCAAAAGAAAGCCATGATGCTACATAAATAATGCAGGCAAGGTGGGGTGCTACACAACAACAAATTCACACGGCTGAGGCATGGCAGTACATGTATCATGTCATATAGCATGAAGGCTTCAGAGGACTCCTATAGCTGTAAATTGTACCTCTGAAGACACATGAGATTTTTATAACCTGTACAGTACCAAAAATACATGCTACAGACCACCAAGAAGCTGAATGAAATGGTCGTTGCTGAACATTGAAAGAGTATAAAGAAAACCTGAGATACAGCATGAGTCTGGCTTATGTGATTCATGTACCAAATTGATTTAAAACAACAGCATAAATGGGGTGTGTTTCTGAGCCAAAGAATGGGCACATTCAATAATCAATGCTAACAAGCTCCCCAAAGCTGCTTCTATGACAGTAAAATAGGTAACCAAGTATTACTGGCAGTTCACCATTAATTAGTATTTAGTTTTTGAGAAAATGTTCATTGCATGCAAACAGCGCATCTTCCTGACTTAGGATGTTTGGAATTTTTACTGTATAATGGTGCGGTTATGCTCAATGCACTGACCATGGTGCTCACCAACGGTGACATCAGCCCTGAGCCAGAACAGTTTATACTCCTGCTTGAGGCACACTTGACTTGCTGCAGTCTTCTCCTAACTGATAGGTGTCACTGCTGATAAAACACAGTCTACACCACTGGAATGGAGAATGTGAAGGTATGTCATGCCGTGTTGAATGTTTGGACATAGGTGCCATTTTAGGAAGGAGGCGCTGTATTTACCTACATACATTCTTGTTTTCTTTGGCTAAAAAGTTGCTTAAATCATTTAGATTTCACTTTATTGACTGTGGTAATTCAAAATGAATAAGCTTATCTGACTGTAGCTAACTTGTAGCAGACCTAGAAATCCCATAGACTGGAGCTAAGTGTAAGATGTATTCTTTTGTAATTTTTATGGTGAAAAATCCTCTAGCTAATTTGTGATTCATCAACAGCAGTATTCTATGTTCTGCTTTACACTGAGCATTTCAACTAGGATATAAAGATATTGCAACAGATTTACGATACAGTGCATCAGCTGATTCTGGACTGATATGTTCTTGAAGCTGGTTGTAAGATCAGTGTCACAGTTAACATCTATTCAGTGCTGAGTTATTTATAGTTTAAAAATAGACAAAACAAAGCTGGTACCATGTAGGGCTATGGTAAATTCTACCTTATAGGAATGAGGACTAAAATAAAAACAATTTACAGTCTGCATATTTAAGTCAGAAATCACTTTAATGTTTAGAAAGTAAGGTGAATCTTGTCACTGTCAATCAGTGGAGTGCTTTTTAACTAGTGGCCAAAAATTACCTACAACTTTGGTTTTCTTCCCTTTTTGTAACTGCCAACTATCTCAAATTTGATTGATTAATTGATTTAATTACATCCTCAGAAACATTTAATGTAGATTATTCAGTTACTATGTTTTTCTTAACAGTTTGTTCATGCCCTCAATACAATAATAATCCCATGTCTTTTGTCTTTGCTAATTCATTTGTAGTGTTCCTTTTTTCACAAGGCGCTGTGTGTATGATTGATTTAGAGTTTAACGAAAATGTATGGGCATCCTAAAGTAAAGATACAAATTAGAAATTCACACCATTCACATAAAAATGATTTTTGTTGGTACATAGTGTTGATAAATGAGGGCCCAAGACTCTTATCAGTGCTGTTGTAATGAAAGGTTAAAGGTCTGCTCTCAAATGTAATGTTAGACTAGGTTATACGCAACATAGTCAATAATAGATGATTAAATGTACCAAAGAATAGGAGAGTATTCATATGGAAGTTCAGTATATGAGTTAAATTATGTTTACCCATTATCTGGCCCTAAGGAAGGAGGTGTCAGGCCATGCTGTCTTAAATCTTCAGTGCCAAAAATTAGGCAACACCATTTTCCAGACCTAACCTACTCTTAACACAAAGCATCCCTGAACCCTATTCTCACCCAAGCAAAGAGCAGATATGTGGCTTGATACACAGCATCTGCATTGTATTTGCTCAGATTAAGCAGTGGCTGGGCCAACTGGCTTGTAGTGACAGTCACCTCTGAGAGCTGGGTCTGCTCAGTTGTCCAACCACTGACAGTTCTACCAAAATTGTCTAACAACAGAAGCCTATTAACAATTCCAGTGAGTCTGTAACAATATTATCACCAACACCAATACAAGTTCTGTGTGGGTATAGGAGTCTACAGAGTCATCAGGTGGGCACTCTTTCACTAACTGGTGTTTCATTGAGTTGGGCCCATGACACAGACAAGGCTCAACAGTGTGTTCCAACATCACAGAATTTATTTGCCTACACCCACACACCCAACACAATTCTTCATCTGCTCAGGGTAATTAAAGCTAACTGTTACCAGTCACTAGCACTAGCAAAATTTCAACTGCTGTTCTAGCCACCAAACATTTAAAACAGCTCACCAGATAACTAGCAGACTTCTGCTTCCTTTTATACTGCATCAGAAACCACCCCATGTTAGTATTCTTTCCAACAAACCAATCAAACTTCTATGCCCTCATGTTAGCTTGCCCATGCCAACAACAGGAAGCAGGCTCCCAGCCTGCTGCATGTATTAAACATTTCTACTATGCTTTTCCTCCTGTGCTAGTTTACTTCAGCTTAGCAGACATAATTATCACATATGTTGCCATTTATAAATATTATTAACATTATTAACATATTAGACATGTTCGCAATAAAATAGCTAAAAATATATCGATATTGGCAAGGGTTAGACATATGCTGGACGTTAAAGCACTGCGGATTTTGTATTGTTCATTGATTTTGCCATATTTGGAGTATGGCGTTGAAAACTGGGGAAATACATACAGGAGTTCACTTCAACCATTGTACATATTACAGAAGAGAGCGATAAGAGTTGTGCACAAGATGGGGTATAGGGATCACACAAATGTAGTTTTCATACGGTCTAAATTGCTAAAATTCTTTGATTTAGTGGAATATAAGACTGCTGTGTTTATGTATAAAGCCAGGAAAGTGGGGTCAAATTATGGAATAACTTAACTATGGACATGAAAAATAGTACCAGAATTAAGGAGTTTAAATATAAATATAAATGTATGTGCTATACAAGATATATGCAAGAATAAGAACAATCTGTTTTATTTATGTAGTGATATTGCTTGCAGCCAATGTTGCATAAATTTTGTATAATATGATGTCATGGGGTAGGACTGGATAAGTTTGACTTCTTCCTACTCCATTCAAACATGTAATAGGTGTAAGCAAACTGATTTTGAATTAGCATTGGTTGGATGTGTGTAATCATGTGTGTTATTGTCATTTGTTCATTGTTCTGTTCTGTTCTGCATGTTTGAAAGAATAAATCAATCAATCAATAAATCATCTACTTATTTTTACCCCATTCCCACATTTCTTCTGCTCCAGAGCCATTCACTGGACCTTGCTGCACTGTCAGTTAGATTCTCAATTACATGTCTTAGGTGAGTTAAAAGGACAGAGCCTAACTCACATAGTAGAGAGACAGCTGGCTTGGCTTCAAATCCCATACAATCAACTTCCACGGGGTGGACTTTAACTTCCAAGCCACGCTTCTCTGCCTCCATGGCTTATTTTGTGTATTTCAGTTTCTTCCTCTCATAAGCTGTATCTACAGAATCCTCCCAGGGAACTGTAAGCTCGACAAAATACACAGTATGCTGTGCTTCTGACTTTCATGTGCCAGTCTCTCCCTCTGCCTTTAGCTGGCCTGCCTATTCAGAATAACTTGCTTCCTGCCTTTTTCACCCTCACAAACAAACAAAATCCCCTCTTGTTTCTTCATCTCCTACACTCAGAGTTTATCTCTGAGAGCCTGCTTTCAGTAGCTGCTGCTAAACATTTCAAAACTTGATTATGTCTTCAGGTCTATCGTCCTTGAGCCAGGCTTGTTTTACACCCTGAGAGGATGTGCCGAAGTGATGCTACACTTGAACACAAGGGACATATCGGGTCCTCACCTTTCCTTCTATTCAGACTTTGGGGAGAGAAATGCCCATCATAAGTTGCGCCTAGAAAGAATCTAATCCTTCCTGAATCCATGTCCCACATTTCCCTCCAACTAAGTTTCTTCCTTTCTACATCTTCCCACCTCATCCACTGTCCCTGCTGAGCCTGGGAGACTGCCTTTTTACATCTACCTGCCTCTTAATCTCTTCAGTAGTCATCTGCTGCTGCTTTGCTCCAAGAAGGTTGTGAACCAAAACCACCATGTCCGTGCTGTACCTGCCCTACAATATCCCTGTGTTTAAGAGCTGCCTGAGCCTGCAACACTGCCCCCTAGAACAAATAAGGTCACAAAAATACATCACAAAAGTCTAGAGATAGGCACTTCACATACTAACAAAGCTTGTCAGTGGCTCTGGCCAAACTAGCTTCTGAATTTCAGTATTCTTCTTAAAAGCTTAAAAACATAGCTCATTGCTAAAGGTGATCTAATTAGGTGTTGCGATTGGCATTTTATTTCCATGAAGAAAACTGTTTGGTGGTCATTCTCCTCTTTGGGAAAGGGTATCCCCCTCACCTTTGGCCTCTACATAACAAACCAAAGTAGTTTTCTGCAGCTGACTATATCCCGTCTTAGGACCACCAGGTTAATAGCATCATATCAGCCCCTGGAGGAGCAGTCACACATCCCCTGACACAGACACTGGCAGAATCCATAGACCAGGCAAACTGTAAGGCTTGAAGGAACTAAGCTAACACATACAATGCCCAAAGTCACTCTCTGAATTACCAACAAATAGATTCCTAGAGGCAGTGAGCCAAAGTATAAGAAACCCAGCAACCAGACCAGGATGCGTGGGACATGATTACAGAACTTGGAGAGGGCATCCTGATCAGCTGGCCCATTTGAACCCATTGATACTGAGTCCAAGCTCTGCTCAGCATAGATGTCAGAGCTGCTGTTGTGGCTTGGGAAGTTCTGTGAGTCCCTCTGAACTTCCATAATGGTGATGACCAGGCAGTTGGAGGAGTCTTGTGATGGGCTGGAGGACAAAAAGCTCTTTGGAGTCAGGATCACCTCCCTGTTGTGGTCAGAGCTCCAGGATTTGTCCCACATTGCTAAGTGGGACATGATGTTAGCATCATCGGGCAGGCTGGACACCTCATACTCTGTGATCTCAGTCTCGTGTCGGCAAAAGGGGCAGGAAATACAGACTGCACTGTCAGCAATGTCCAGGATCTTAATGAGGCAGCGGGCACAGACACGGTGCAGGCAGTCCAGGATCTTAGGCTTGCGATTGTTGGCATTGTAGCGCTGGTAACAGATTTTACACTCGAATTCCTCTTGTAGTGGACAATCCTTCTCTTCTAACTCAGCCTGAGGACAGCTCATCTTCAAGGCATGTTCTGGTAAATGGGAGTAAGAGAGCCAGAGACAGGTTAAGAAAAAGATTTATAGGGATGGTCATTAATTATGTGGTTTTGTATTATGTGGAACTTTAACTAGAATGTTGCACCTGGCATTGAAACAAGCAGATGTTTCTGAGTACAATAGCTGATGTATCTCTGCCCAGCAAGAAAAGGTCAGGGTGTCTCCTCTCACTGCTTCTATTCATTGTACCAGCTGCTGATGAATGATTCATGATTTGGTAGCTGGATCAGGGTGTGATCCAAGAGCCCTTTAGGGCAAAGAGAGAGCTGGTAATGCTATTGATCTTTTGGGAGAGGTGGTAGGGACAGCTTCTCCTTCAGCACTTTATGTTGATTCAGTGTTTTATTGTTGTTCAGAATCAGAATCAGCTTTATTGGCCAGGTGTGTTGGACACACAAGGAATTTGACTCCGGTACAGTGGCTCTCAATGTTTATGTACAATGTTCTTTTTTAAGGCAATGAGTAGACAAGTAAACAAAATAAGACAGAGAAAAGAAAAGAAAACATGTTGTTGTTGGTAGCAAGTGTGTGCAGAATACAGTGTTATTGAAGGTCTTATAAAGAAACATGTACTTTGTTGTTTTTAGTTTTTTTTTGTTGTCCATTTGATGATAGAAGAGAGAGGAGATTAAACAGTAGAAGAGAAAGTATAGGCATCAATATTGATCAGATATCACAATTTCTGATCCCCCAAATTAGCAACTCCTGAGATACCTGCTTTAGATACAGCACTCACTTGCCCTCCAGCATTTATAATGACAAATTCAAATTATGATCTGAGGTTAAGGTTTAGGCTTTTGTGTGTACAAGTTGCCAGCACATAGTGTTATTTTCACCTCTTTAGCAGTACTAGTTAATGCCAGACCTCACTGGCATTTGACTATCAGACTATTTGCTGACAGCTGCTGAAGTCCTGAGATGAGAACACACCAGGTTTACTCCATGGAGAAACAGCAAGAATATGTCTGTCCTCATTAAGAAGGTGGAATAGTTGTAAGTATGCATTCAAAGACACTACACATGAATAGGACTGAGGTTAAGGAGCCCCCATTTATTAATTTAACCATTTAAAATGCTTTTTAAAAAGATGCATGCCCACTTTTTGATATTGATTTTTTGTGTGTGTGTGTGTGTGTGTGTGTGATGTATGCATTTATCAAGTAATTAGTTGTTTTGCCTTTTCCTCTTACGTTCATTAGTTGGATTTATAGATTGGATCACATATTTAGAAACTTTTGATCTTTATTATGGCCATGTGTCTGAACTTGCATTTTTAATTTAAAATTGTAAGCAAACTTTAGAATCATGTTCTACAACATTTTTATTCATTAAGGCAGCTAATGGCTCGGCATAACATTTTGGTGTTGTTTGCAATGTTTGCTGGTTACACCAGCTGGTGCAGTTATTAATGATACTGGAATGTTAGTCATGTGTTGATGGGGTTTACTGTATCTGTGTCACACCCAGTATGCTATCCCAGTATGTACAGTAAATACTGTACAGGAAGACACAAAGACACATATCAAACTTACAAACCACATAAGCTAACATACTCTTCTGCCCACATGATAAACTTGTGTTAAACAAGAAATGACCTGACAAGAGGTCCTGAAAGCAATGAAATGAGCATTACTTTGGTTTAGAACTCAAGGCTAAGATTATAAAGATAACAACTGATTAATCTCCTGTTTGTGATTACCCTTTAAGAAACACCTGTGGTTTATTATGGTTGTATGATACTAAGGGCAAAGCACAGAAGCAGCACTTTGTTCTCTTGCCATATTAAGTCTAAAGAAAAACTAGAAAATGACAAGCAATAAATCAAAACACACATCCAACAGCAGGCTCTACTGCACATCCAATTTCAGACAGTTGGTCATGATACAGCATTGTGACTAGATATTACTGTTCACCATTAACACACATTTTATTTTATATTACAAAATGTACTGTATCTGAACCATGATTGGTTCTCTCTCTCACAACCAGAGGTTAGGCCTGAAACTTATTCTTTAGTAAAGTAAAACTACCACACTGTGGATTGTCACTGATGTAGTGAAATATGCCTTGGAGTTTTTCTCTCTTGTACAGCTTGAATGCTATTGTAAGACCACTGAGGTTCTGGATCTTCTCACAACTCTCTCAGGTTGAAATTTTTGCTCATCTAATTATGAGTAACCAGCCAGTGATCAGGTGCTTGAGTAAAGAGAGTTGAGCAGCTGTGGTGTCTAATCTAGGAGACACCTACTCAGTGGCATTAGCTCTGTCCAAATTTTAGAGGCATTGTGATTGTTTGCTACCTCTAGCCACCATTATTATCAGCCATCATATTATGCTGACTTGGACATCCTATATATATCCTGTGTACACTGCTCAAAAAATAAGGGAACACTAAATCACACATTAAATCTTGATGAATGAATTATTCAAAGTGAAAACCTTTACTAATGTATACTGTATAATTTGTTCAGATTAAAATGACATATAACAATGATCAGTGGAAACCAAACTCATCAACCCATGGAGGCTGTATTCAAGATCACAGTGAAAACCAAAGTGAAAAATTGAAATGACAGGCTTATCCTAGTTGTACGAACTTCATCATAGCAGCTCAGAATGTGAGTGCCACCCTCATGGAGTCTGTTTCTGAAGGGTCTGGTCAGAAACATACACACCAGTAGTCTGCTGGAGATCATTTTTAGTGCTCTCGCAGTGCTCCTCATGTTCCTCCTTGCACAAAGGAGCAGATACCAGTCCCACTGCTGGGTTGTTGTCCTTCTACAGCCCTGTTCAGCTCTCCTGGTATCTCCTCCATGCTCTTGAGACTGTGCTGGGAAACACAGCAAACCTTCTTATGACTGCACATATGGCTGTGCCATCTTGGAGTATCTGGACTACCTGTGTAACCTGTTTGGGCTGCAGGTACTGCCTTATGCTACTAGTAGTGACAATAACACCAGGAAAACACAAAACCTGAGAAGAATCGGTCAGGAAGGATAAGGAGAGAGTATTTGTTTGTGGCCACCACATGCAAAACCATTCCCTTTTGGGGGCTTGTCTTGTGTTTGTGTCTCCATTGCACCTGTTGTCACTTTCATTTGCACCAAAGCAGGTGAAACTGATTCACAGTCACCTGTGCTCCCTAAATGGACAAATAGATATCCTGAAGTTTAAATGACTTGGTGTTGTGCTGTGATGATCAAGTGTTCCCTTAATTTTTTTGAGCAGTTTATATTACATATAACCACCGCTGCTCTTATTATTTATATTTACTGTGATGGTGCAGGACTCTGTTGTGTATCCCCCAGATGTCATAGTCAGCAAGTACTGGGTAGAGCAGTGTCTGAAGCTGGCTTTGTAGTTTTTATTTAGGTTTATGTGGTTAAATTCAGTATAGTTCAAAAAAGGTTTAGAAAAGGTTTTGTAAAACCTCCAGTATATCAGTGATTTTGTAAGCTATAGTTGTAATTTCATTCCTTTTACTTTGTACTTTACCTCAGTATTTGATCATTAACAAGTCCCCCTCCCGTTAAGAAGATGCTATATAAAGAAAAGCCATTCACTCATTCATTCATGACCATGAAATATACATAAATTGAATAGGTGGATATTGCATTGGCAATTGCCCAGCAGGCCTCTCTGTGACATGCTGACTGTTAAATATGTCAGCCACCAGTCTGCTGTGTTAAAAAGCGTTATAAAGAATGATAGAACTAGCTCCCGCTACTGTACATCATTCCCAGGAGCAGAATTGTCCAGAAGCCCCACACAATTAAATGTTGTAATCAAAGGGCATAGCAATAGGATTGTGCAAGCCAATATGCAACTCTTTGTTATGTAACACACAACAATAATCTGAATGTGAAGGCTACAATTGTAAACTATCCTGTGGAGTTTATATTGTGATGGCAAACAATCACTCGTGCATTACTGTTCTGCAGTTGCCAGAAGTATACCCCGAGTTCAGAGTTTGCTATTGATCCATGTGTTCAGCAAGCTACAAGAGTTATTTTCCAGTGCATATAACTCACTGTTGTTTTTACATTCATTCTGCTATGTCACCTTTTAAAATTTGGCTTAGGCGCTCCACAAAAACACATAGGGCAGAGACACGCCAAATCGACGTGGCTTGGTGTGTTGGGTCGAATAAGTGGCACTTGAACACACCGCACAGACTACAGCCAACAGCCAACAGCCAGCTAGCATGTACATTCTGTGCCTGCGTGAGAGAACTAACTCCTCTTTTCAGCAGATGGCAATATCTGTTTTTGTCATTCAGAAAGGGAAATCAATCAGTTAATCAATCATAATCTTTATTGCCAAGTACGGCAGGTTAAAATAGAAAGAAGAAGAAGAAGGTTCCTGGTTTCGAGCCCCAGCCGACCCCCTTTCTCTGTGGAGTTTGCATGTTCTTCCTGTTCCTGCATAGGTTTTCTCTGGGTGCTCTGGTTTTCTCCCACATTAGGTTGATTGGCAACTCTAAAATTAAACTTCATCCAGAAGGGCATCCGGCATAAAACATGCCAAGTTTAGCTTGCGCATCATCAATTGGGTGGCAACTGATGATATGCGGTGTGCTGACCCCTAATGGGAGCAGCCTAAGGTAGAAGAAGAAGAAACAAAGCAGCTCTCGTCGTACAGCTGCTTCAAGACATGCTTCAATCAAGCATGTCTAATAAAAGGTTGCCAATGGCCCTGCCATTCTCTGTCCTTGGTCTTTTGGTTGTGGAAGAAGAACAGAGGTAGTGGAGGTGAAAAAGGGAGAAACCACACTAAATGGGTGAAATCATGGATACTAAAGTAACATACTCCAGTGGCTTTCCTGAGCATTTCTCATCTCATGCATTGATTTGCTAAGATGAACAGCCAATGAGAGTGGTCTCTTGCGCTAATGAGGTCTGACACCGATTCAGCTTGCCGAATTGGCCGAAAAGCCGCTGACAGGGTTTTGACTAATGCCAACAGTGTGGGACACACTGGGAAGATGGGCCCAGACAGACGCTCACCAGTGGCCTGATGGCGCAGCTGTATACCGGTTTCACGGTATACTGTGGTACGAAAATTGATGGTTATCATACCATGCACATTTGTTTATTACCGGTATTGAAGAAAAAATACTTTGCACACAAGTAGGAAGTTGGTTGACAGGCAAAGTATGTCTTTCTGTTGTCAGTGCATTTAATGTAGTCATTGCCATCGGGATGAAAAGAGAATTTCAAGATATGTAACAAAAAATGCTTCTGAAAAGGATCACCAACCAGTATGGTGGTGGAATAAGGTTCTTTGTAGTGCATTTTTGCCTCCCCTATGCAACTGCTTCATTATCTTTATTGTATTTTTCTTGGCTAATGATAAAAGATATCCAGTTTTAGCAGAAAAGGTTAATATGTTTACACAACCAATTATGGTTCACAACTGATAGAACAGAGCTTTTGCTGCAGGGATTTTAAACAGCATTTGGATTTGTGAATTAGTTAATTGGATAAGATAGTATTGTGTTTGTTAGGTTCTAAGGTGTTAATTAGAATAATGGAAGGTTGACAGAGAGTATATGCTCCCCATGTGTTTGTGTAGTCTGTCCTCCTACCAGGTTTTTATTTGCAGTGGGAGGTTGTGTGGCTCAGGTCTGTTGAAGACACCTGGAAGTTAGCTCATCCTCCAAGAGTTTGTTCCTCATATTAGTTTATATATTGTTCCTCATATACTGTATGTTTGCAATATACAGTTTTGTCATTCTGATTGTACACATTGTAGATGTGCACACAGAACATCTATTGTATGTCTTGCTGTCCTGGAAGAGGAATCACTCCCCTGATGCTTTTCCTAAGGTTTTGTCCCAATCCTTTTCATTTAAAGGGTTTTTTTGGGGGCATTTTTTCTTAACTGATTTGAGGGTGTTGTTCAGTATGCTGTACAGATTGTAAAGCCCCTTGAGGCAGATTTTTGATATTGGATTATATAGCCTAGATAAAATTTGACTTGATTTGATTTGATATAGTATTCTTAAACACAATTTACTCTGCATTCAGACTGTAGCAGTTGCTGACTGTGGCACAAGTTAGTATTTCAACATAAGGCAGGGCATATGGGGAGTGCTCAGATGTGTTTGGTTTCAATGAGGTTGTAGGACCCAAAGGATCCACTTCAGCTGGCTTTTCACATGGGCAATGGAAACGCATGACTGGTCATTTTAGGAGATTAATTGAGTAAAGCATGTGATCAAGTTCAAGCTGATAGCTCGAATGTACTGCCATTTACTGCCGCACACAGTATATTTAACAGTCCCCCACAGCATCCATCTGTAGGGGCAAATGTTATTATTGTTGGGTCTGAGTCTGGATGCCAAATACATATCCTATATTCACATTAAACATCTAGTAAATGTGAGTTGGCTGACTGAAATGCACTTCTAACGATTTACTTATATGTACTGTAAAGCATAATATATGGAAAGCTAAAGTTCACATGTGCTATTGCACTATTGTGACTCTTAAGCTTTATTAACCATCCTATATAACATGAGAATCTGTCTTTATCTTAAAGAGTAAAAATTGTTAATGTTAACTTGGAATTTACAGAAACAGGGTGGAGGTTAATAACACAGTGTGTTTATAGTAACAACTCCTCATGTGTGAATTCTAAAAGTAACCTAAATGATAATAAACATCTTATTATTGAAAAATGCTGTCTGCTCTAAATTTTTAGCATTTTTCTTAGCACTTTGTGGAGAAGGTTAGTCTCTTGGCTACAGCTAAGAGGGTAAATATATTGGTTTGGCATTGCTGAGCTTGTTGTGAGGGCTAAATGTCACGGCTTCAGCTGGGCTGATGTTGGTGCCTTGTGGCTCACTGGGGGACTGATGGTGATTCAGGACAAACTTCGGAGACATTTGCTTCTCAGATTATAGGTCTAAAATATAATACCAGTTCCAATCATTCATTACTGAACACAACTAGGGAATAGCATGCCGACTAGTGAGAGAACTAGGGCCATATTATACAAGACTAGGGCTCTTAACTAACTGAATGCCCAGCATATGATGGGACTAGATTTTAGATACTGGATATTTCAGATAAGTATTTAATTTCCACTTGTCAGTATGGCATGTAGCTACCTTTCTATGACAAGGTCAGCACCGTGCTGTTTCTAAGCTCTCATTTGAGTGAGTGCAGTTTCATGTGTCTGGCATGTGCTAATTTCTATCAAACATGTATGATCTTGTGTACTACCATTCTTGACTTCCCTTTATGAATATGCACTCTAAATACCCTCCATAGAAAACACATTATCTGCCAATTCATTTCTTTTTATAAACCACAGCACATAGTGTAAATAAATTAATAAATGAAAAAATACAAATGATTTGGTGTTGACGTTTTGGACTACTATTTGTAATCCATGATATAGAAAAAAAAGCCCTATATGATTGCACCATGGAGTCACAGCGGTTAATATATTGATTAGTTTGGCTAATCTCAATACATACTGGCAGCTTTGTTAATACATCTTACCATGGTTGGTTACATTATGTTTGGTTACCGTTTGATTCAATTCTGTATGACTTTGCCAACATACAGACACACTCACAGAAACAGAGCTTCATTCTTGAAGCCTGCTATCTTTGGCTACGAAGTAGGGAGAGGGAAAATAGCCTGTCATTATTGCTGACCAGTGTCAGACTATAGCAGGGTGGTGGCTGATGACATATGCTGCCACCTAATAATACTCTAGACATTTCTCTGCAGAGAGGTATTCACTTCTGCAGGATTAAGTGGGCAAGCCTATATTGCCTGCACAGCTTTTCAGAAGGTCAAACCAGAGTAAATTTGAACACAGGCATGCAGAATGTACTGTATGTAATAATATTGTTATACTCAATTTTAACAATATGTATTATTATTTTTGTCAGTCAGTGTTGATTTGATTCTCTGTACTACTTCAATGCGGTCCTTAGCTGTGTCCCCATTTGCATTGAGTGTCATTCTTACATTGTCTTTCTCTCTTTCTTTCTTCAAAAACACACACACAACAGCCTGCACTCATAGCTGTGTTTGGTAAATTAAGGGCAGGACAAATACTTAATCAGCCAGACACATTACTTACGACACTATGATTGACTGCTTAACATATACTTTGCATATTGACTGTCTTGTTGAATCACTGTTTGCAATTTGTGGCCTCTTGCAGCTCCGTGCAAACAGAGCAGCCTGTCTAGCATAGTATGCGGTTAGTAAGTAGTGACATACAGTAGATGCTGGATGAGTAAAAAGCACAGCATTTGAAATGTTAACACTTTTTTGTCTGATGCACTGAATGTATTTGTTGCTTAGAACTGCCAGTACTTGATTGCTAAAGGAAAGCTGCTCAAAGCTTCAGGTGACAGCAAAGTGAAACAGGCCAGTGTCAGTAAAACAAAAGATGCCCTCAGGTGTAAGCCAAAATCTGAACATAGTGTAATCAAAGTATGTCTGTTAGATAAAATGTTGAAGAGCTGTTTGAGAACTGTGACACTCTTTACATTCAAGAGCCAGGTTATATATCTTGATCATCCTGCGCCTGTACCAGATGATTTAATGGATGAAGTATGTAATGAGGATGTTGTAAATTATAGGCTCAGGTGATCGTGATGATGATTATTTAATGTCTTATGGATGATGGTTTGTTTTTGTTTTTTTTTAATACTGGACTACAGTATATTATCCTCTAACTGTATTTCTTTGGACTATTGGCCTAAAATGTATTAGAAGAAGTACTGTCCCATTTTTGTAGTAGTTTGTAGCTATGTGTAAGAAAAGGTACCACATTGAAAAAGAAAGACTTAACTAAACCTAAATCACAAATCTTGAAAATGTCATATAGTGGTGGCAGAAACACTCCTTTCAGTTTCATCATTTACATATTTATATTATTCATAAGACTGATTAAAATTTTTCGTTTGATTAATTTTCTCCATTTTGTCTTCAACAACATTACCCCAGTGCATTTGCTTACAACCTGCTGACTTTTACCCACTTCCTTATTCATCAGTTTCCCAGAGCAAAAATGATTTTGACCTGCTCTCAGCTCTCAAGCCTGTCCTGGGTAGTTCATCCCTGTTTTCCATCTGATAGCCTGTTTGAGAGCAATCCTTTATTCCAAATTGGGGCCCACACAATCCAGCTACTTAGTAATGGATTAAAAGTGAAATAGTTAAAGCAACTTGTTTGTTTTATCCTTTACCAAGCAGACAGGCTTTCTGCAGGTTTTTACACATACACATACACAAATGAAAAAGGCTGATGCAAGGTAAGCACACACACTGTCTGTCCTTATTCAGACCTTGTTTTCACATCTCTAAATCTTGTCCAGCTGCAGAGCACAGAACAGCAGCACAGAATCTACCCTCTTTGTGTTTTTGTGTATTTTTATTTTCCTCTTTCTCCTGTTCCCCTACTGTTTTCTTTCTTGATTTATTGTCATGACTGTTATTCTGCATTAGCTGAGGTAAACCAGTCCACATAACAATAAACATGTATTCCACTTGTATGAGTATGTATGTGCTACATTACCTGCAGTAGTTATGAACTGTCCACAGCTCGACAGCTGCTGATCTGTGGATACAGCAAATTAAATGTAAGTCCACAAGCAAAAGATTATTTGCTGGACGGACAAACTCACACACACACCACAACCCCCAAACAAATAAACTGCAGCTGAAGTATAGATGCACTCCCGCTCTACACAAATCATCTGCAGGTTAGTGTATGTGTTGTTCCTCACCTTGTCCCAGTGTGTGCGGCTCCCCCTCCTCCACCCCACTTGTTTCTGCTGCTCTGTCCTTCATGTAAATCCACCTCTTTCATAGCAACACTCCGCATCTCATTCCTCTGTGTGCAGATATATCGGAGGGAAGCGTCAACCAGACTGGCAGCATTGGAGGATGCAGCGGAGGGAAGGACAGCTTCTTACCAGAAGGAAATCTTGCACCTGCAGAGGCTGCTAAGAGAAAGGCAGGAGGCTGAAGAGAAACTGCTGCATTCTAAACGGTAGGAAGGGAGTGAGGAGAGAGAGAGAGAGAGCTGAGGAGAAACGGTAGGAGGCAGGCAGGCAGACAAAGGGAGGAGAAAAGGGAGAGTATGTACTGTATGAATGAGAGGAGATGGTGTGTGTAGCCTAAACAGGAGGGAAGCCAGAGCCAGCTAGAGGTGGCAGCAAAGTATGCATGGAGGGAGTCAGTCACATCAACAAAGCAATTACAGATTAGAAACAAAAATATAAGTTGAGACAAAAAATTCAAGTTTTATAAAATTATGCCTTCTTCTTACTGTTTTCCTCAAAAATAATAAATCAGATTTTAATAAGACCACGTGGCCACACAGCATTAAGCTTGACTGACACATCTACTGCCTGGATATCTGATTTTTCTTATCATACATATATTGGTACAAAAGAACAAGGAATGGTAGTACAGAAGTGCTAAAGATATGCTTTGAGGTTATTACCTCCGCCAAGGGTGGGGGTTGTTCTTGCCAGCATTTGTTAGTTTGTTTGTGCATTTGTTTTTTAATAGCATAACATAACTTCCGGCGCCAACAGCAATGGCAGCCGTGGTTACTCGCACTCTCTCGTGTTTGTTGTTTTTCTTTGTTTTCTTGGTCTTTTGCAACTCATCCCGGGTTACCTTTACCAGAGAAGAACTGTTAAATATTGGACAACTCACACCGAACTACCTTCCTCCAATTTTTGTGAACGAAGATTGCTGTATGGACATTGTGATCGGGGGCACAGCGGCAATATACAGGACCTGGAAAAAAAAACACTGCTGTGGAGCGGGCGCCCTGGTGCAGTTACGACAGAGGGGAACCCACTCCCGTCTATTCACCGGGCAAATTTCTGCTCCCTGGTCAACAAGATGGATGAAATTCTTCTCATCAACAGGATTAACTCTGACTTTACACGCTCTGCTGCTTTGTGCTTCACAGAGACTTGAAAGGCTGATCAACTCGATCGCGGTCAGTGCGATTCAAGTACCGGCCTTCTAGGTGTTCAGAGCGGATTGCATAAAGGAGATGTCCGGGTAAACGAGAGGAGGTGGAATCTGCTTCTACATAAATGAAAGTTGGTGCACAGATGTCACAGTGCTACAGAGGGCATGTACCGCAGACCTAGAGTCTCTTGTTATCAACTGCAAACCCTTTTACTCTCCCTGTGAATTCAACAGTTTCATGCTAATGGGAGTGTACATAACACCACAGGCTAATGCTAGCGCACTACGGCTCCTAGCAAAACTGATAACTAGCCTGGAGCTAGAACATCCCAACTCTCCACTCATTGTTCTAGGGGACTTTAACAGAGCAAATCTCACCCACGAACTGCCCAAATACAGACAGCACGTCACCTGTCCCACCAGGGACAAAGTCACACTGGACCACTGTTACACAACAATAAAAGATGCCTATTGTTCTGTCCCCCACACAGCTCTCGGACTCTCAGATCACTGTATGGTCCATCTTATTCCAACCTACAGGCAGAAACTTAAAGCTGCAAAGCCTGTAGTCAAAACAGTGAAGAGCTGGACTGAGGAGGCTAAGTCAGAACTACAGGCCTGCTTTGACTGCACACACTGGAGTGTATTTGAGTCTGCAGCTACAGACCTGGACCAACTCACTGACACTGTGACACCTTATATCAGCTTCTGTGAGGATGTGTGTGTGCCCAAAAAGTCCTTCTGCACATACAACAACAACAACAAGCCCTGGTTTACAATGTGGATGCCAGCATAGCAGATACTGTTATGTCATCGTGTTAAAAGGTCACTTCACTCTGAAAATAACGTATGTTAAAAGATCACTTCACAAGTCATGTAAACTATGGGTGGAGTCACACTGGACAAATTCTAATGGACAACCAACCTCTGGTGTGACGTCTCTTGGAGCGAAGCCTGTACCTCCTGTGGTTAGGATGAGGTTAAGTTCCTTTTCATCGCACCAATCTACCAGAGTCTCCTGTTGGCACACACACACATATGATTAATTATTATGAAACTCATCACTACTGCACGTACTGTAGCTAGATACAGAAGAAAAATAGACAGATTGATCAAATACATACTTTGATTTCATCAATCTCATCTGGCACTATCTTGTAGGCTGCAATCATGCCCCCCAACCTGAGAAATTAAGAAAATCATTAGATCACAGATGTACTGACACGTTATTCATAGATTTGATGGTAAAAAAAAATCCTCTAGTCTTGCAACCCTCAGTGCGGTGGTCAAAACTGTCATCTGATGAACTGTGGACCTTGTTCCCTGCTATATATGAAAAGCTAAAATTAAAAAGGACAGTCTCTCTTTTGTTTATATACACCATCCTGATGCCACAAGTGGGAAATGGAGGAGGTTAACCAACAGGCATGGACGGATCATGAGACAACAGGGAATCAGATGACAAGGATTCACTAAAAGTGTGAGAAAAATATAGCAAATAAAACAGTCAAATGAGACCACAGGAGTACGTAAAAAGAAGTGAGAGACACAGAAATATAATATAAAAAAAGGGGAGAGTGAATGCCCTCGAACACTGCCTCCTGACAGGATTTTCCACAGGTTGGCCCACTGAAGAAGAGAGCTGCAGCTGGTGAACGGCGACCTCCTGTGGCCAGCCTGGATATGACGCCCTCAAAACAACCCCAGGCTCAAGGTGAAGGCTCTGTACAGACATCCCTTATGTAACCTTTTCTTTTTTTTAGGAGTACTATTTATGGGAAAATAGTGCATCATGTTTCCCATCAGCCACTTACAGTAAATGCTATGATACCCTTCCTCAGACAAATACTCACAGCCTCCAGGAACATTAATCATCAGCGATTTCTCTGCCTTTCAGATGCGGAGGCTATAACTCTTCACACACCAAGTTAAAAAGAGTAAATTCTGCATCTTGGAAGTACAGTATCATTAACCAAACTCCATCGGCTCTGCTCGGTTTTTAAACGGGGCAGCGGCGCAGCAGAGATAAAAAAATATTGTAGCATGCATGGAGGCAAAACTCAGAGGAAAGCTCTCTGGTTCTGACAGAAGAGAAGTCACAACGAATCATTTAAGATGTATTTTTTCATGAAACACTGCACATGCAGATCTACTCGGAGCATCCACTAACTTGTGCACCCACACAGCATCTACACACGCACACTCCCTGCTGACATTTCTATGATATGCATGAGTGATTGACTTCTCTTGATGTGCTTGGGAGGGGGTGGGTTTTGCATCTCTGTGCACGTGTGTTTATATGTGTTCATGCATATGTCTGTTTGTGTTTGCGTGTCTGTGTTACATCTTGAGAGAGTAAGGGAGATGTCAGGACAAATCACCTCTCCACCTCTCCTGGGGATTTTATATCTGTTTCAGCCCAAATGAAAATATGCTCAACACAAATAACTAGGGTTCCTTCCCACCGTTTCCTAGGCAACCCCTCCTGTCTGAAGCCTCTAGTTGCTGTGTTATTCATTGTGAGAGGGTGTGTGAGAGTTTGCATGTGCCAGCCAATGTGTATATACTGTAACTATCAGGGATTCCATTTCTGTGCATTTGTAGTTTTTGTTTTTTACATGGCATGTTCATGAAAAAACTTTAAGATATAACGTGCTTTGTATGTGTGTGTATGTGCATGTTAATAAGCAGAGACTCTATCTATGTTAAGGGCAGATGGCATAAGATCTGCAGTACTTATGTATTTAAATGTGTACCAACAGTACAGCTGCAAGCAGATATATACAGGTGCACAGAAAGCCATATGTGTCTGGGTGTATTAGCATGTTGTATCACGTGTACACTATATACACTATATCACTAGAGACAGTGCTTTTCGGTGGTGGCAGAAGTACCCAGATCCTTTACTTGAATAAAAGTAGCACTAAAATTTTTTGGAGAGGTTAGATGTTGGTGCTGATCTGTATCATAATTTTGATACAGAAATATTTTAAAAGATTATTCACTATCATGAGTGCTGTTGACTGCATGTGAGCCCCCTTGTGACCAAAGTGTGTGGCTGCACTGCTGATCACTCAGAGCACACACAGAGGCAAATCCTTAGGTTAGTGACACCTAGGTTAGTGACATTGTTGCGATAATGGTTGTGAGTGCTCATTATCTAACCAAGCTAGCTCTATTAGCAGGCAGCTACATCTCGTTCAGAGTTCAGTGGTCTATCTGTGAGGTGTTCCAGCTGCACATTATTTGATGACCAAGATGGCGGCACGTGTACAACGTGAGGCTCAGCCTCTTCGCAGATTCTGTAATTTTGCAGTGATTGTTTTGTTCATTTTGTGTCTGTTCATGCACAACAGCTTCACCTTACTATCCTATACCCGGCAAGAACTTTTGGATATCTGTCTACACCACTCCAACAGTTTTATCTCCAATCTTCGACTCACCCCTGAAATCGCCAAAACACCGGAGGCTACGCATTCTACCTGACCAGACGGAAGTGCTCGCAGGTGGCGACAAGATCATAAACAAAGGCATGGAAGCACGGAGGAGATAGAGCTACGCTAAAGCTAACACCACATCGGCTTTCTTTACCCAGCATTTTCCTCGCCAGTGTGCGGTCATTTGTGAACAGGATAGGTGAAATACGGCTTCGCGTCACCAACAATAAGAGACGTATGGACTGCAATATTATGATTTTCACTGAAACCTGACTAAACAGAAGCATACGGGCAGATAGAATGGCAGATGACTCTGGTAAGACCCGAGGTAGAGAAAGAAAGTCATTTTCGTGCTTTTCCAGTTTAGGGGTCGCAACATTGATGACTCACATGTTGACATTCGGCAAGTGTTTTACGCCGGATGCCCTTCCTGACGCAACCCTGATTTAAACCCAGGCCATAGCGGCGAGAGCACTGCGCCTTAACCACTAGCCTACCAGGGACGGCTAAGACCCAATCCAAGGCAGAGGATGGTGCATTTATGTTAACAATGCTTGGTGTACGAACTCTGTCATCACTGAGAGACACTGCTCAGCTAACCTGGAATTTCTTATGGTTAAGT